TTTCCTTCTGTCAGCTGTCTCTCCAGGCTGTCACAAGGTCTTCCCCTTGTTGCCAGCAGCACTATTCACCGCAGTCACTGGACGTATCCAGATCTTCATGATTTCCATTACACGAGAGTAGATGTTAAAACTTTATGCTGATTTGTACTCGGCTTTCGCCAAGATAAGCAACACTAAGACGTAGCTTTACATAGGGGTGTAAATCGGACAGTTCATCACGATACGATACGATATCGATTCTCTCAGCCAGCGATACGATTATTGCCGATACCTCAAAAAATTCCGCGATACGATTACGATTCGATTCGATTCAGGGTTATCAATCGATTTATCGATATTTAGATATTATGTGCCAAGTTTACACAACCAGTTACGTTTATTAACTCACAAATGCATCCAAAAATATATGAAAGTTTAATTAAACTCTTTGAAAATTGCACACCCTCTCCCAATTGGGACATTTACAAGTTGTTTGTTACAAGTTACAAGTAAAAACAGAGTTATCTGTTTTTGCAAATGAACTAACAGAAGAGGTTGTTTTAATTAAAGGTCCCATTCTTCGTGATTCCATTTTTCAAACTTTAGTTAGTGTGTAATGTAGCTGTTAGAGCATAAATAATACCTGTAAAATTATTAAGCTCCAAGTTCAATGCCTAGCGAGATATTTTATTTAACAGAAGTCCACTTTCAAAGCCTACAGCGAACGGCCGGTTTGGACTACATCCCTCCACTTCCGTTTTTAATGACGTAACTAAAACAGTTTTTTGAATAATCACCGCCCACGGGAATACACAAAAAAGGGGGCGTTGTCTTGTTGCGCTCCACGGTGAAGAGGAAGAGTTTCGTTTGTAGAGTGTGTTTGTCGCCATGTCGTCGAGACACTGTTATTTTCATGCCGGAGTCAATTCACCTGTGTCTGGCCTTCCCAGGGAAGCTGTGCTTAGAGATCAATGGTTACAATTTATGTTTAACTCGGTTCCCGAAAATGTGCGCATGCATCTCCCCGTTATGGTAAGAGGCGTGACCTTTCCGGGCAACGTGCGCTAAGCTGATGTCGAATCACAACACAGGAACCGCTGGCCCAATCAGAACTCGTGACGTGTTTCTGAAGGAGGGACTTCATAGAGCAAGGAAGTCATCAGCCCGTTTTTTGGACAGTGAAAACAGCGGTATACAGATAAGTAAATTGAGTGAAAAATACTGTGTTTTTTTACACGAGAAACATGACCACATGTTATATTGCATACTGTAAACACAATCAAAGCTTCAAAAAACATGAAGAACGGGACCTTTAAGTAATAATAACAAAAAAAATATACAGGTAAATTATTGTGCATTGAAAGTATTTTTTTATATATAGGCTATAGCTATATATTTTTTGTGTGTGGCAAAAGCAGATAACTCCACATTTCATGTTTCAGAGTTAAACAAAGCCTAGTAATTGCTACGATACTTAATAAAACACTTAATCTTTGTAATGTTAATCTCCTCAGCTGACATCTAGACGCCTGTCAAACTTTGTTGTTGTGAATAACGTACACGCGATACAGAGAGCTTTTCCCTCACCACTAACCTGCTGTTTTAGCAAGATTCCGTGAAAAAGTTTCAGATCTTATTTTCCTTTTACGCCCCGAAAAAGATATCACAGGTTCATCAAGTTCGTTGAAATCCATCCTCGATCACTTTTAATCAGCTTTGACGAAACTCCTCTCAGCTAGCGCGTCTTTTCAAAGTGACTAGCAGGCTTGTCACCTGACATGAATACTGCGCACTGTTTCACAAACAAGAGTGCTTGTCGTTTCTGCTGTAAAGATGAACTCGCGATGCCTTGACAGTGGAAAATACCGGCTTTTGTGACAAAGGGTTCAGTCAATCTTGTCAGGCGTCTATTTCAGCGGAGAAAAATTACGTGAGGATGTGTAGAGTGTCAAAATAAAGGTACCGTATAATCGATATTTTATGTGTTGCATCGATGCATCGTATCGTTAGACTTTTGATCGATGTATCGATCCATATCGATGTATTGTTACACCCCTAGCTTTACAGTAAACTATGCTTCTCCATCCATTTACGCGTCTTTCCATATGGTGGTGTGACTCCCCTTCTCTCCGGCGTTAACGGCTGCAGTGTACTTGGCGCGTCAGCACACACGACGGCTGTAACTACAGTGTGGTCTCCCCAGTGGACTAGCACGACAACCGTCTGGATTGAGCCGAGTAGGGGACATCTCTAGGGTCTTCAAGTGGGCACTAGTATGACTAGTTCAAGATCTGCAGTTAAAGGGATAACTTCACATCTGGAAAGATGAATGTGTATTTAAAATGGGTCATTTATGTAGAAGAAATTTGAAATTATTTTTGAATTTGGAGCTTCCTAGACTGAGAAAAGCCAGAAATGTATTTTTGGCTTATGTGGATGAAAGACAACAACTCCCAAAATGCACTTGCTTCGCTGCCCTAGGAGGCCACGCCTACCGGTAACGGAGCACAGTAGTTAAACATGTCTAGGCTACTAGTGAGTCTCCGTGATGAGTCTGCCCGGGATTTCGAGATCGCCCAAAATGTCCGGGATTCGGCTTTTTCGTTTTACAGTCGCCATTCATCATGTTTACTGTGGCGAGCAGGACGAGTGATCGGTTGATGTGCGTTTTGACACGAGGCCGGTGGCGTGATTACTGATGAGAGACACCAGTGAGACCCACTGGTCTCGTATCTCTCACGGAGGAGCGGGAATTTTCTTAGCAATGTTAAAACGCACATCAACCGATCACTTGTTTAGCGTTCATGTAAACACTACATTCAGATTCACCAATCGGAATGAATTCAGTTAGATTGAAACAAAAGGTGTGCATGTAAACAATGAATGCTGACTGCAGAAAGCAAAAGCTGAATCGCGGACATTTTGTACGATCTCGACGCCCGGAGTGTCGACGCCACGCAGACGCCTGGCTGTAGTCTTTAGCCTCTGGCCAAAAAATCCTCCGATGACGCAAAATGACGATTTTTGCGTCATCGGAGAATTTTTTCCAGACAAAAAATACATAAATTAGATTAAGCTTTGTATTAGTAGAAAACCTGTAGTATTTTCAAATTACAGTGCTTTCCACCCTCATATCTCCCTGAGACGAGAGATTTATGTATTTTTTGTCTGGAAAAAATCCTCCGATGACGCAAAATGACGATTTTTGCGTCATTTTGCGACAGTGGACTAAACGCTACTACAGTTAGCCATCTCATTCCAAGATATTTTTGTGTGAAGTGAACAAATCCCTCACACTCAATTTTTCATAACTCGCCTGTACTTAATAAACCAATAAAAACATTTGGCGCGAGGTCACAGCGTTTGGGTTCGCGCGCTCACAAGGTTTGCGAAAAGTAAAGGCTACAGGCTAAAACACTCGAGGTTAGAGCCAGGGCAGACAACAGGATGAAGCGTGTAAAGAAACGTAGTGTGTGGGACCACTTCACCAAAAAGAATGACACAGTAAGTTGCAACTTGTGTGATACAGTGCTTAAATACAGTAGTAATACTGTAGAAATATATTACATTTCAGTGGTAACAGATAAGGTGATGATGATCATCATCTTTCTTTATTATTGTTAGCACTACCTCAAACTAAAGTGGCGTCTCTTCGGAGCTGTCATTTTCTTAAATGAGCCGCAGCAATGTTTCAAATGAGCTTCTAACGCTAGACTAACGCCTTTATTTTTAACGCGATCACCTTGTACCCAAACCATTTCAAAACTAAGGAGCCATTTGTCCTCCGATTACATACAAGCTCCTCGGCGCCGCGTTTGCGGGACTCAAGTTTCGCGCTGTAGGGGATTTAAAAAAAGTGACGTGAGTGGAAGCGCGGCGCCGGGGCAGTGTGTGTGTGTGTGTGTGTGAGCGGGAGGCAGAGAGAGATGCGACAGAGTTGCGAAATTGCAGGCGCGGCTCGAAATGGCTGTTATTTCAAATAGCGTGGCATATTTTAAACTAATCGGTTAACCGGTTTCAACCGGCTAATGAGGCTCGGTGGTCGGTCAAGAAATTTTTTAGTTTTCGCCATCCCTACTACATATAGGCACAGTAAATAAGCCAAAGGTTCTCTGATCAGCTGTTAAGTGTCTTTGTGTCCGCAGTATTTTCAATTTTGATATTTTTAGGTCAAACCGTTCTTGTCTGTCAGTCATATAATGCAGTCCTATGGTCACCACCTCAAAGAGCAGCACAGAGAAGTCCAAATTAAACATGATTTAATGACTCGTAAATGTAAGTACACATTGATGGCCTAAGACACGAAACGAGCGGTTTGTGTGAGAAAACGAACAGTATTTATATCGTTTTTACCTCTTGTAAACACAGCCAGGTCCAAGTGATCTGAGGTCGCCGGCGCTTCGGTCTTTTCCGGAAAGCACCGGAAGTGATCTCTCGCGCGTGTACGTGCATGCTCTTTGAGGTGGACCCCATAGGACTGCATTATATGACTGACAGACAAGAACGGTTTGACCTAAAAATCTCAAAATTGAAAATTAATTCAAAATTTTGCGCACGGCAAAAAAATGACGCGTTGGGTGCGCAAGACCGGCAAGACCCCATTTCGCTTGCCTGTGTGCACAGCTTTTTTTGTAACAGCGCGCGCGACGCCGCATCCGAGGATGAACGACTTCAAGCCGAATCTGCCCGAGCATAGGCTACGTCTCACCGCACCGGCTCGCAGTTTGCGCATCTAAATTGCAAAGTTCATTGCAAAGTTTTTTTGTTAAGGTTTTGTTTTGTTAAGGATTCATTTAATGGAAAGCACATTCACTTCTAGTTATCTTGCTGTTCATTTTAAATAAACGTAGAGCGAGTTGTCCTATAACAGACGAACAGTTATTCAACCGAACGTCTAGCTGCTATCTAAAAAAAAAAAAAAAAAAGGTTCGACTATCAGTCGACTACGGCAAAATCTAACAAATCAGATTCGACTATGAAAATCCTTAGTCGAAAACAGCCCTATTGAAAATACTGTTGACACAAAGACACCTACATCTTGGATGCCCTTGAGGTACGCTAAAACATATCAAAAATTTATTTCAAAGTGAACTATCCCTTTAATAACTGGTTGGACCACATTTGAAACGAAATTAATTTATAGAAATAAAACGCAGTGGTAAGGACAGAGCAGTTAAAGTAGGTCACTGACTTATGCGTTCGCAGCCTGTGAACAAGGCCCTAGAATTTAATGCAGTCATATTAGAGCACACTTTTTTGTGCAAAGAAACAGTCAAATAAATGCGTACAACAACAACATTTATCTACACCCATTTTTAAAAGTAACAAAGGTGAGTTTTGTGCCTATAGCTTACACTGCAACAAAAGGCAAATTAAATACAAAATTGATTGAAATAATTAAAACACAAGAGCATAGACCCACACTGACCTGCGTGTGATTGCCCAACGCGAGGGAATGCTGTAGCGGGGTTGAACAATATTCATCAGTTCTTTATGGTGTGTTCACACCGAACGCGAATTTAATTATTTGCGCGAGTAGATTACATACAAAGTCAATGCAAAGACGCCGGGCGTTGCGAATGACGCGAATTGGGCGACGCGTTTGCCACAAATGTCTCCCGCGCAAGTTGAAAAATTAGAACTCGAGCAAATGTTAAATAGACGCGTATTTGACACTATATTCGCGTTCGGTGTGAACACACCATAATGATGCCCGGGTGTTGGCTGTTGAGATGGTACAACAACGAGGTTGTACTTGAAGTATATCTAAGCACTGCATTGCAATACTTGCATTTTGCCCCATCATTCTCGATTTTAAAGTGCTCCCACGCTGTGCTTTTCTTTGCCCGCTTTATATTAAAAACTGGTCATGACCATAGTAGGGCCCTATGAAATCCGTTTTATTTTTTCCCAAATTCCGTTTTATTTTTTCCCAAATTCCGTTTTTTCCGTTTTAATTTTTGGGAATTCATTTTTTTTTTACCCTTTACTGTTATTTTAGTCATAAAAAGAGTGTGCTTTTAAAGTTAATGATTAAAATGTATACAAATAAAATAGGAATGCCCTTAAATTACAGACATTTACTCAGTAGCCTTTTCAGGACAAATACTGCATGATGCAACATGACACTGCACTCTTCAAGTAACAACAAAATATGGTTATGAGCTTTAAACTGTCCAGTAAAATAAATTATATTAGTTTAAAGTTTAAATAAAAGTCACACTCTGTCTCTCTCTCGCCCAATGTCGCTCGCGGAGTTCGCTTCGCTTTTGTCCAGTCCGGCGCCTCATAGACAGACGCGGTGTGTTTGTGTGTGTGTGTGTATGTGGGTGTATGTGAGAGAGGCGCGTGAGTGATAGAGAGACGAAACGCAATATGTGGCGGCCGGAGTTGATTTTGTGGCCGCGAATTAGTCTATGTGTGGGACACACTGCATAAAAGTCCCGTGCGAACTGCTCGGCTCGGTAGGGGTTGTGTGTCGCCCAGATTTGCTTCCCCCGGTCTGCATTTTCACCAGACATACGTTCTTCTCCCACACAAAAACAGAATTTCAATCCAAATATGTAAAATTCCATGAATTTCCGCGTTAACACTAGATTCCGCGTTAATTTGCCAATTCCGTAATTCCGTCCGCGATTCCGTGATCGCGGAAATCATAGGGCCCTACCATAGACATCATATAAAACTAGATGCCCTATTGGCCGCTGTGGCGCAAGAAATGCGGCCGCCATCTTAAACCGGTCATACTCCTATTTGCGTTGCACAGCAGCATTAGATGCCAGAGCACTGTGCAGCATATTCCTGCTCAAATCGGCGGACTATCACTCAGGGATTACTTTTCACAAGTAAGATTTCACATTAAACATTACCGTACTATTGGTTGTATTTTGTGAATAAAATATTAAATGTGTCCTGTATCGTAGCTACATGTATGACCTTTGCAGCAAAAAAACCCGTGTGAAAATCAGTTCGGTAATCAGTGAGATATGATTAATTAAATGCGCCGACGGCTCATTGCACCAGCCAAACAGATTACACTGAGCGGAGCAGGTGACCGGTTTAAGATGGCGGCCCCACGGCTCGTCCGCGTTAATAGGCAGTAGCGGTCGATAGGGCGTCTATCTATATATGATGTCTATGGTCATGACGACTACTTGTGGACATTACAAATGTCTGGGAGCGCTCTGGCGGTGCAAAAATGTATTACAACTAAATTCAATGCACACATGGACGCCACTTAACCAAGCAAAATGTTTCACTCGGTTACGCAATTTTTAACGGTTCATCGGTTAACCCCTATATTGAATCGATATCGAAGTTAATAGATCAATATCGTATCGAAATCCAATCGAATTGTGAAATTCCTAACAATACCCAGCCCTACTTGTTATGCTGCTTGATATTGTAAACTGGTGTTTCATATATTATGTATTGTCATAATTTTAAACAGTGGTTTGTTGCGCAAATAGTTTTACCGTTTATTGCACTTTGTTATTCTTCTAGTCAATTCACAAAAAATAGCTTACTTCCGCATTGAAAAATAAGGTGGATAGGGGTACATGTCTTTAATAGCGGTCAACAGTGAAGAATTAAAACAAACTGGAGCTTTGTTAATGTTTCTCAGTTGTCAACAATGAAGAATCAAGAATAAACACCAACCTATTTGTTCCTCAGTATCTTCATGTTTTATTCTGGATGGTTCAGGATCACTCATGTCTTCAATCTCCTCTTTAATAAACTCGATCTTTACTCTAGTACGGCACACAGATACAGCTGGAGTGTCTCCTGCGTGTTCAGATGCACTTCTAGCCTTGATGATGAGAATATTCCCAGCATTTATTGCTGAATTGTTTTAAAAAAGGCTGTGATCACTCTGAAACAAGAGAAGAAACATAAATTACTGATTTAAAAAAACAATCCCACAAAAATTATAATCTTTCTTCCTTATAACTCATTGAGATTCATCAAATATAAACCAAAATTAGCTGAATCTGTAAAAAAAATGTCAGCATAATATATAAATTAATGTATAAATAACAACCGATCTTCATGTTCATCTTCAAATTTAACTGACTAATGAATAAAATGCTCTTATGCTCTAGGAACAATATAATGAAAATGAATAAAACTAAAATAATGCAGTTCTGACAGCATCTTTATTTAATCTACAGTCGAAGAAATATTTAAAAATAACATAGTGTATTATTCCCAACAAAAAAATAGCATGGAATAACAGGAAACATGTTAAAATTGGGGTTAAATATATTTAAATATGTTATTTTATAATCTACTTAATTAGAAAAGCAGAACATACATTGAAGACCAAAGTGATTAAAGAGGTAAATCCGACCTTCATGTATGTATTGAAAATAAACTTTGCTCAGACAAATTACACGATATTCTCGGCACTGTAGTGCAATAGAAATGTAGTCATGTGCTTGTAATGATAATTACTCATATTATAATTATACCTAAACACTATATTAAACGGACATATATGAATTTCGCATTTGTTTACAAAAGATTCTCACGCTGTCCACTGCCATGTTGCTGCCGCAAACGTGTTCAGAACTGTAGTAAACATCTACCGTACGGCGCATGCGAGTGTCGCATTGAGCAGCAAACACTCCGATTCTTCCTCCAGGAGGCGCTGAATGACTCCGAAAACCGAAACCTTAAAGACCAAAATACCCTTTTGTAGTTCAGTCTACAAACAAAGTATTATAGTTTAAATATAGTAAGGCCAAATAACAAACAAAAAATCCACAAGATAAATCTCCAGTGATGCGTTAAAACACACAGTAAGAAAACAAACACAGTTTGAACCATGTGATTAAACTATTATGGAGATAGTTTCCTCTAAATCAGAAAAATCAAACCATTCTCTTTTTTGGCATTCCACAGCAAGTAAAGGGACAAAAGTAGAATTTCACTCTCAGAGAATACATAATGCTTTTATTAATTTTTGTTTGTTTGTTTGTTTGTTTAATTTATTTATTAGAAAAGGGACCATGTACAATTATTAACATAGGCCAACATGTTTCAATTTAATGCATTTATTTAAAAACGTATTTTCCATTGCACAACAAACAAAGCAACTTATTTTAAATAATGTGAGCAGCAGGTCTTTCTTTATACATGTACATCGATCTAGACACAGCTTCATTTTACCATTAAATCTTTATAAAATAATGGACATGCTGAGGCAATATTCTGGTCTGTTTTGGTATTTTATTGAGCTATTCATTTTTATTATTGGATTTTTTGAGGGACAATGCGCAATTTTTTATCTTTATAGTTATGATATGGTTTCTTTCCACTGTGAATTATGGTATTCGCAAGGTTCCCTTTTTTGCACAAAACTCTTTTCACACCGAGAAAGTGAAGTTTACTTCCATCAAGTCTAAAAAGGAACATATTAAATCATCTAAATTAAATCAAATACAAAAGCAAAAAGTAACAACAGTATATGTAATCTTTGATATGATATAATATATACGATGAAAAATGTCCCTCAGTAGTCAGTAATAATGAAGAATCAAGAATGTTTGTTCTTCAGTGTGTTGCTTTGCTTAAACTTTATAATAAGCAGACGAGGCGTATTTGCTGCTTTAACATTCTTTACTCCACAGCTGTCACATAACACACCAGTGCTACGCGCATGGCTATCTGTTTACTTCCAGCCCGGGGCTTCCGCCCATGCCCGTCATAACTGTGGCCTGCTGGGTAATGGAGTTCTTAACCTAATGTACTCATAACATCACATCTTTCCCCCTTTAATAAAATAACATTTACTTCTACAACAAAATAACATTTATTCCTTTAGAAACATAACCATCTTCAAGTGCTGTTATATTTATATATATGTAACACTTAAAGGTGTAGTGTGTGACTTTTAGCGACATCTAGCGGTTCGGTTGCGAGTTTACACCAAGGGCTCAGCCCACCGCTCACCCCTCCCTTTCGAAGAAGCTACGGTGGCTAAAACGGGACAAACATCGTCGTCTGAGACAGCAGAGAATAGCCAGCGTAAACCAAGTTTCTGTACCACAGTCCATTATAAACCACATCATGGATAAAGTTTCAGGTGAGGATCAAGGGTCTTAATACATAATATAATAATAGTAATCAGCTGATTGTCTCACGAACGTAACCAGCACATTCTCCCCACATAGCAAACCCATAATACAGCGAGGGAGAAGAACCACATGAAACTGCAACTATATATTTTTTCTAACAGGGTAGTGAAAGTTTAGCTGGCTAATATGAGCTGTTACTGTGGCTGAGCTGGTTAAAGCGTTAAGCCTTGTTTAAACTCGACGCGTCCGCATTAGCCCAAAGGTGCGCGCGGCAAAAATGACGTGATTGTAACAGCGCGCGCGCCTCCGCATCCCCTAGACACCACTTACAACACACAATAGGCTTTTTTTCTCTGATTTTGGAAACTAGATCGACTTAAAATGCTTCCAAGATCGAAGGGTTGGTGATTCCTGTAACTGTTTTACGGTCAATGACAAGAGTAGCCTACTAATCAGCTGTCTCACGAACTTAAACAGCACATTTATCCCCACATAGCAAAGCCATAACACAGCGAGGGAGAAGAATTAAGTTACATGAAACAATCCAACTACATATTTACACCACTGACAAGGGAAAAGTCACTACTCACGGTGTTTATGACTAGCTTCTTCTAGCTTTCTGCGGCTTCTCTTTCAAGGTAGTGACGAAACGCGCTCTGTAACGCTGTTTGTTCGCGTTCGGCTACGGTAGAAACATGACGTCACAATTTGGCGACCTTCATAGAAGGGGGTGCCCGCGGTTATGTAGATATAAATGTCTCATTCTAAGGTAATAAAAACATTACGGTTTATTAAGTAAGTTCTTTATACACCACTGAACACATAGTTATGGATGTCATATTGCATTTCTGTTAATAGATACTCAAAAATGTTACACATTGCACCTTTAACTATACATGTAAACAACTTTTTCAGTTTAAACACTTTTTTTTAATATATATTTTTTTATATATATATAGACAAACTTAAAGGTTCGTGTTGCTCCTTTGTTCCCCCAACTAAACTAAAGAAACTTTAGCAACTTTCAATCAACCTTTTAGGTGACTGAACATGTCTCTTAGGTCTAGCCTGTATTTCAGCAGCTGGCGATTTCGACAGTTTAGTAGGTGTTGCAGCTGTTGGTGACACAGACACTGCTGTTAGTCCCCTGTCGGTTAGCTCTGTAGCTTCAACCGTGTCCTGCTGAACCATCTCCTGAGCTGTAGTGTCCTTTTCATTCAGCTGTAGTTGAAGATCCGTGCGGTTCCTCCTCAGAAACACTCCATTCTCCATCTGGATCCTGTAAGAGCGTGGAGCAACTTCCTCCTCCACCTGTCCCTTTGTCTCCGTGCCTGTAGAGATGTCCCTGAGACGCACCATGTCTCCAGGCTTCAGCATTTGCAGGTGTTTTGCCGTTCGATCAAACCAATGTTTTTGATTCGCTTTCTGTTCCTCCTTTACTTTTCTGACTTTATGAGCACTTTTGGGCGTCAACAGGCCTGCATTTATTGGTAGGTTAGAGCGAATGCATTTGGGCTGGTGATAGCCCGTTCTGTAGAGGTGCACTCCTATAGATCAGTAAGCTTTTCTTAAAGTCATCTCTGTCCTGCGCTTTCTTCATCATGTTTTTCACTGTTTTCACAGAGCTTTCTGCCAAGCCGTTGGACTTTGGATAGGTTGGACTCGACGTAGAGTGTTGAAACCCCCATTCTTTGGCAAAGGCAGCAAACTCGCTGCTGGAAAACTGGGGCCCATTGTCCGAAAACACTTCACATGGGACACCATGTCTGGCGAAGACAGCCTTGAGGTAGCTGATGACTGCCTTGTTTGATATTGACTGCAGCGCTCCAACTTCTGGATAGTTTGAAAAGTAGTCAGTGACCACTATGTAACTCTTTCCATTACAGTCAAATAGGTCAGTTCCAACCTTGTAGTACGTTCTGTGGGGCACCGGATGAGTCATCAGCGGCTCAGCTTGTTGTTTTGGCCTGTGGGTGCGACAAAGTTCATATGACCAACATGACATCATGACTTTGCGTAAACATACACGCCACTTTCAAGTCAAGTGGCGTGTTATCTATACGCATTTTGAGCTATCCGCGTGTATGTCCACGGCGAAACGAACCGTCATCTGTGTATATGTGTACGCCGTTTAATGTCCGAGTGATTCCGCGTGTATGTCTACGCCGTTAAACGTCCGAGTGATTCCGCGTGTATGTGTACGCCGTTAAACGTCCGAGTGATTCCGCGTGTATGTGTATGCCGTTAAACGTCCGAGTGATTCCACGTGTATGTGTACGCCGTTAAACGTCCAAGTGATTCCACGTGTATGTGTGCGCCGTTAAACGTCCGAGTGATTCCGCGTGTATGTGTACGCCGTTAAACGTCCAAGTGATTCCACGTGTATGTGTGCGCCGTTAAACGTCCGAGTGATTCCACGTGTATGTGTACGCCGTTAAACGTCCAAGTGATTCCACGTGTATGTGTACGCCGTTAAACGTCCGAGTGATTCCACGTGTATGTGTACGCCGTTAAACGTCCGAGTGATTCCGCGTGTATGTGTACGCTGTTAAACGTCCGAGTGATTCCGCGTGTATGTGTACGCCGTTAAACGTCCGAGTGATTCCGCGTGTATGTGTACGCCGTTAAACGTCCGAGTGATTCCGCGTGTATGTGTACGCCGTTAAACGTCCAAGTGATTCCACGTGTATGTGTACGCCGTTAAACGTCCGAGTGATTCCGCGTGTATGTGTACGCCGTTAAACGTCCGAGTGATTCCACGTGTATGTGTACGCCGTTAAACGTCCAAGTGATTCCACGTGTATGTGTACGCCGTTAAACGTCCGAGTGATTCCGCGTGTATGTGTACGCCGT